CAAGAAGGGATGAAGGGGCTGAGGGCATGCTGGAATGGGCACACTGGGTGAGGCAGAAGATTGACCAGTGGATGATTCCCCATAGGAAGCCAGCGGACACACCTTCACCAAGGCATTAGGAATACACTGGTGAGGGGGCACCAGCATCACCATGATGCTCAGTGTTGGCTCTGCTGTGCAACCCAAGGCTGACCATAGGCAGGGTGGTCCCAGAGCTGGACGTAGATATCCATGGTTAGAATGAGGGCCCTGAAACACTAGCAGCCAGGAGGCTGTGCTTGACCACCAGAAGCCACAAGGCTGCAACCACCCTACCTACTAGTGAGGTCACAGAGGCAGCTGAAGAGGCATGACCATCAGGGAGTTGTGGAATTGATTAACAGAGCCTGGTGTCTTCAAGGGCAAAAAACAGGCTTCCAAGGAAGGTGCTGCTTAATATCTGCAACAACAAAGGCAAAAATAGAGTAGCAGAAGGCTGCAGAGGCTGTCCCAGTAAAATATCATAATCTCTTATGTAGTTTCTAGATCTGAGCCAATCTGCAGAGTTGAAATCCATTGACTAAAAAGGTAGAACTCTGCAACACCATGGCAAGCTGTACTGTGACAATAGTTGTATTAGTTTCCTAGGGCTGCTGTAACCAAGTACTACAATTAGTTGGTTGACAATAACAAAAATTATTCTCTCTCAGTCTGAAGGCCAGAAGTCTGAAGTCAAGATGTTGGCAGGGCCATGCTCCCTCTAAAACCTGGAGGAGAATTCTTCCTTGTTTTTTTGCTAATTTCTGGTGGTTTGCCATTCCTTGGTGTATCCCTCCAATACTCCATCTTCACATTAACTTTTCCATGTCTTCACACCATCTTCCCTCTGTGAATGTCTGTCTCTGTGTCCAACTTTCCTCTTGTTATAAGGACTCGAGTCATACTGGATTAGGGCCCACCCTGATGAACTAAACTCATCTCAGCCTGGTTAAATCTGCAAAGATCCTATTCACATTCACAGGACTTCAAAATATCTTCTTTGAGGAGACACAATTCAACCCATGATAATAATTGCTCTCCATAGGTCTTTCACTAGTGAGTAATCACTGGGGAAAAGGGAAGACCGATACAATTCAAGGTATATTGGACACATAGGGTCTGTGTTGACATTGACACTTGGATATCCCTGTTAGTGTAGAAGTCTACAGGGCCAGGCAATAAATGGAGTCCTGGTTAATGTACAGCTCACCGTGGTCCTGCTGAGTCCACTGACATCCCTGTGGTCATTTCCTTGATCCCTAAGTGTAAAATTGTAATTGACATTCCCAGTAGTTGGATTAGCTTCAACATTGGGTCCCTCGTTCTAGGGTAAGACCTATCATAGTGAATAATACCAAATATAAAACCATGAAAATACCCCTAACACCCAAGGTGGTAAATCAAAAATAATATTGTATCCTGAGGTGGCTGACAGAACTTTGTACCATCATTAAAGACCTCAAGTGTACAAAGTGGTGGTACCAATCATATTTCCATTTAATTCACCAGTCTGGCCCCTGCAGAAATCGAATAGATCCTAGGGAATGACTATAATCTACAACAAATTAAACAAATAGTAGCCCTGATCACAGGTGCTATGCTGGTCATAGTTCGTGGCATTCACTCATTAACCTGGTAATGTTTGCACAACATCTTTTCAATTTCAATCAAGAAAGAGAATTAGAGCCCTGCCTGAATGGCTCAGTGGTTGAGCATCATTCTATGAACCAGGAGATCATGGTTCGATTCCCAGTCAGGGCACATGCCTGGGTTGTGGGCTCAATCCCCAGTGAGGGGCATGCAGGAGGCAGCCAATCAATAATTCTCTCATCACTGATGTTTCTATTTCTCTCTCCCTCTCCCTTTCTCTCTGAAATCAATAAAAATAAAATAAATTTAAAATAAAGAGGAATAGAGAACCAAGATGATGGCATAGGTAAATGCTGGTACTCACCACCACCCACAACCACATCAAAATTACAAATAAAATACAGAACAACCATCATTCAGAATTGCCTGAAATCTGGCTGAATGGAAGTTCTACAACTAGAGAAGTAAAGAAGAAAGTACATTGAGACTGGTAGGAGAGCTGAGGTGTAGAATGGGCTGGTTCTACACCCATGTTTGTTTAATCAGGAGGGATATTTTAGCTGCAGAGGCCTCCCATGAGGAATAAGGAGTCCCAGCTCTACACCAGATCCCTAGCCCAGGGTTCCAGAGCTGGGAAAAGAAGCCTCTGTAACTTTGGGCTGTAAAAAGCAGCAGGAATGTGGCTGAGTGGCACAGAGGCTACTGGAGACCCAGAAAGTTACTTTTAGAGGGCCAGCACATGAACTTACATGGTCCTTCTCCCTCTAAGCTCCAGCACTGGGGCAGTGGCTTGGGAGGATCCAGGGATATACAGAGAAGAACTGGATTGGCTGGCATTGGCATTGGAATAAGAACTCAGGAACAAGAACTCAGGGGCGGCTTTCTCCCAGACAGAGGTGTTCACAGAAGTCATTGTTCCTATGCTGAGACCTCCCCCCATCGCAGAGCTGACTGGCAGCTATATCTGAGTTTTCATCAGCCTTGCTAACACTGTTCCCTCCATCCTGTTGATTTCCTGAGACCCCACCCCTCCAATTTTTAGCCCTATCCAAGCTGTTTGCAGCAGCTTTTCCATATGAATGGCCTGTCCTGGCTCAGGCTTCAGATCTCTCAAACAAGCAGCAGCTGGCATCAGCGAAACTCAGCACTAGCAGCAGTCTGCCTTGCTTCACAGATTGGCCTCGCCTGGGCACTTCCAAGCCCAATACAAATAGCAGATCTGAAGATCACTCTTTAGCTCCTGCCAGGTGGCCCCAAGCAGTAGTTGACTTTGCACCTCCCAGGAGGCCCCAGAGCCAGTGCACAGCTTCAGACCATACTAGATTACAACTCTACACATCCACGAGTGACACACTCAAGGGGCAGACTCAGTGAGCACCAAAGCTCCACTAAAGCAAGTCCTGCTCCATAAGGGTGTCTCCTGCACAGCAGCTGTTCCACTATAGTCGCAGCTATAGACAATTGGCCTGGAGGTCAACTCTTCCCAGTGACACCAACAGCAATCAAGGCTGAACTACAACAAGACTGTGCACACAGCCCACACAATTCAGGTGACTGGGGACGCTGAGCCACTGGGCCCTATAGGACACTGATTACACAACACCACTCTACCAATTCCAGGAGACATAACAGCTCTACATAATATAAAGAAACAAACACAGGGAAGCATCCAAAATGCAGATACAAAGAAACATGTCACAAATGAAAGAACAGAAGAAATATCCAGAAAAAGAACTAAATGCATGGGCCCAGCTGCATGGACTCATTTACCAAGGTTGCTCAAGAATCTTAATGAGAGCTTCAAGGGACTTAATGAGACTTTCAAGGATCTTAATGAGACTTTCAAGAAACTTAGTGAGAACACCAAAGACATGAAAAAGGACCAGTCAGAAATTAATAATTTATAGGGATTCAACAGTAGAATAGAGGATTCTGAGAATCAAATCAACAAATTGGACTATGAGGAAGAAAAAAACACCCAATCAGAAGAGCAAAAAGAAAAAAGAATCCAAAAATATGAAGATAGTGTAAGGAGTCTCTGGGACAACTTCAAGCATACCAACATTCACATTTTGGGTGGCCAGAAGAAGAGAGAGAGCAAGATATTGAAAACCTATTTAAAGAAATGACAGAAAACTTGCCCTACCTGGTGAAAAAAAAATAGACTTACAAGTCCAGGAAGCTCAGAGAGTCCTAAGCAAGAGGAACCCAAAGAGGCCCACACCAAGACACATCATAATTAAAATGCCAAGTGCTAAATACAAAGAGAGAATCTTAAAAACAGCAAGAGAAAAGCAGTTAAAGTTAGTTACCTACAGAGAGTGCCCATACAACTGTCAGCTGATTTCTCAGCAGAAGCTTTGCAGCCCACAGGGAAGTGGCAAGAAATATTCAAAGTGATGAACAGCAAGGACCTACAATGAAGATTACTCTACCCAGGAAAGCTATCATTTAGAATTGAAGATCAGATAAAGAGCTTCACAGACAAGAAAAGGCTTAAGGAGTTCATCACCACCAAACCAGTATTACATGAAATGTTGAAGGGTATCCTTTAAGAAGAGGAGGAAGAAGAAGAAGAAGAAGGAAAAGGAGGAGGAGGAGGAGGAGAAAGAGAAAAATATGAATAAAATGGCAGTGAATACATATCTATTGACAATTGAATATAAAATCAAAATAAATGAACAAGGAATCTAATGAACAAAATAAACTGATGAATAAAATAGAACCAGAGGCATGGAAACATGGAACAGACTGATGAATCTCAGAGGGGGGGGGGCGGTGGGAGGGAAGAGATTAACCAAAGAACTTGTATGCATATATGCATTACCTATGGACATAAACAGTAGGGTGGTGAAGGCTTGGGGCAGGAACCAGATGGAGAGGGACAATGAGGGAGGAAAAGGAGGACATCTGTAATACTCTCAACAATAAATATTTTTTAAAAACAAGAAAGTATTAAAGCCTGGCCGTTGTGGCTCAATGGTTGAGCATGGATTGAACCAGGAGGTCAGTTTGATTCCTGGTTAGGGTATATGCTTTGATTACCAGTTCAATCCCCAGTAAGAAGTGTGCAGGAGGCAACCGATTAATGATTCTCTCATCATTGATGTTTTTATGTCTTTCTGTCTCCATGAAATCAATAAAAATATATTTAAAAAAATAAAAATGAAATATTCTGAAGATACACAGATCACTTAAAAAGCCCAGAGAACATAATATCATGGTGACTGTAGAGAATAAATAAAAGGTGGCTAGTTCACTGGAGACTTTGGGAAGATATATGCTTTAGAGGGGACGTGAAATAAACCCAATGAAGATTCAGAAGCCTGCATTTTAATAAATAAAGTTTTTAGGGATCCAGTGGTCAGGGCAATTCCTGAATATTTCCTCCAAAGCAAAATACAAATTGCTGCATCTTGCATCCCCTACCACAAAGAAGAAACACAGTGTTTGGTATATCTTATTTGATTCTGAAGGCAACACATTCTAGAAATATTGCTCCAGCCCATACACTGGGTGGTACAGAAGGTTGCTAAGATTGAGTGGAGCCTGGAATAGGAAAGAGCTCTGCAGCAAGTCCACTGCAGTGCAAATACACTTACCACTGGGGCCCTTATGATCTTGGGTGGGGGGAGGTACATGAGGCTGGAGGTGTCAGTCGTGGAACAAGATGCATCATAAGATGGAAAGGGTACAGCCGAGATCAAACCTGAGCAGAACCAAAGGGCACAAGTAAGTTGCATGAGGGAGTACTCACCACTGCTGTACTAAGGCCCTTCCCCAAACTGCATCTATGGTCATATTGGGAGGGGTGCCCCATATCATCAGTAAAGCGTGTGGAAGGACATATAGGAGTAGGCAAGAAGTCTGAAGATATCTGTATCACATGTTAACACCCACCAGAAAGTATCCACTGCATGAGAGTATTAAATGCCCAAGTAGGTCATTACAAATTACCTGGCCATTGGACATTAGCCCGCCTTCATCATTGGTGCAATCGACATGTAAATGGAGTGGCCACAGTGGCTGAGATGGAGGTGCTGCGTGGGCCCAGCTGCATGGACTCATTACCAAGGCCAGGGGATCTACTGCTGCCTCTGAATTCCAACCTGTGAACAACAGAGACCTTGTTGAGGCCCTGATTTAGAGACCACTAGACTGGCAAATCTATTCTGCTGGATCCCTTCCATATTTGAAGATCCAGCAGCTCATCTTACAGGATATATAACCATTCTAGGTATGGGTTCACCTTACTGCCTAATGGACCTCAGCTAGCACTAGCAGCCAGGACTGCTGGGATGCCTGATCGACAGACATGGAGTTCCACTCAGTCAAGCATCACACTGTGGAACCCACTTCTCAGAGAGAGAGGTGCAGGAGTGAGCACATGGCTGTGGAACCCACTGGTCCCATCATAGACCGCACCACCCAGAAGTTTCCTTGTGGAACGCTGGGATGGCCTTCAAACAGCGCAGGTGAAGGGACACTGCAGAGGGCATCCTCTGAAAGGATAAATGTCATCCTTCAGGACACATTAGTGAGAGCCGTGTGGATGGTGCTGGGTCCCCATTAGGAATAACACATGGGTCTAGGGACCAAGAAGTGGAAGCAGGTGAGTGTGGGCCCCACTTACCATCACTCACAGTCGCCACTGGGAAATTCAGTGCTTCCCATTAAACTAAAAGCAATAGCTCTGCCACGGCACCTTGGATTCCTGGGTCCACGAGCCCTCAGGTGCCCACAAGCCTGAACCCTAACCCATCCTGGCAGGGGTTAGTGACACCAGCAGCAGCTGGGAAAAGTGCTCCTTTTACACAAATGCAGGAGAAGTTCAGGTGGAGCCCAGGGATCCCCTTGTGTGCCTCTTGGTACCCCTGCCCAATAGTAACTATGAATAGATTCTCCCAGCCACCCCATTAGAAGGGATGTGGACCCTTATCTGGGTCACACCACCAGGTAAGCCACCAAGACCTGCCAAAGTGAGTGATAAAAGTGAGGGGAGCCTTGGCTGGCGTGGCTCAGTTGGTTGGGCATTGGCCCGGGCACTGAAAAGTGGCTGGTTTGATTCCTGGTAAGGGCACATGCCTGGTTGCAGGTTCCATCCCCAGTGGGGGGCATGTAGGAGGCAATTGATTGATGCCTCTCACATCAATGTTTCGCTCTCTCCCTCTCCCTTCCTCTTTCTCTAAAAAATCAATTAAAATCTTTTTTTTTTAATGTGAAAGGAAATCAGGCTGGATAGTAGAGGAGAAAGAGGATGAATGTGAGTTTGTCCCCTCTCCCAAGAGCCTTCCTCTTCTCAGTGTCCCCCTCTGGAGAAGAGGCCCATGGGAAGCACATAGAAGTTGTTCCCAGGAATTGTATGGATTAGGTAGATCTGTGCAACACAGAGCTGGGCTGTGGAGGCCATGGAACATGCATCTTGGACCCCTGGTTGCTGAGAGAATATGGGCAGCCTCAGCTGCTGCGCCAAAATCTATCTCTTCCCAGCCAGTGACTGAGTGTGGCAGGGATGCTGGCCACTGTTCCTTGAGACGCAGAACTCCTCTCTCAGTCACTGGGGCTCAAAGACTTGTCATTGGTCTGCCAAAACTTTCTTAAATCTGCATCACAAACTAAGATTTCCCCTCCAGCCCTCCAGCCTTCCCTCCCTCCCTCCTCAGTAAGGGTCAGACCTACATCCCAACACCCTCCCCTGCTTCCCTTTGGCTTCCTCCCTGCATTAGCTTCCTGTGGCTATTATAACAAACCAGCACAAACCTAGTTCCGCAGGTCAGAAGTCTGAAACAGATCCTCAAGCTGCATTCCTTCCTGAGGCTCTAAGGGAGATTCCTTTAGAGGTTCCAGGAAAGAACCCATCACTTGCCTTCTGCAGCCTCTAAAGGCAGCCTGCATTCCTTGGCTCATGGCTCCTTTCTCACTTCACTTGGACCTCTATCCATCACCACATCTCCATCTCTGACTCTGCCCTCCTGTCTCCCTCTTAAAAGGTCCCTGTGCTACATTTAGGGTCTGCCCAGACAGTCCAGGATAATCTCCCTAGCTCAAGATCCTTAATCTAATCTCATCTGCAAAATCCTTTTGGTCACGTGTGGTCACATATTTACAAGTTCTGGGGATTAGGACATTGACATCTTTGTGGCATTATGTAGCCTGCCACATCCCCACTGCCCCAGAGGCATGTTCCCTAAGTAAATTTCTTGCACATCTAATCCTGTCTTGGCGTCTGTTTCTTGGAGAACCTGAACTGACACCTGGGTCATTCACTAGTGCCCCTTCGATCTAGGCAAGCAGGGTCCTTGGACCGGCCCCACGCATCACTTGGCCCTGTGCTTTAGAGTGCCCTCTCCAAACCTTCTTAGTCCTCCTCTGCCAGGCTGATGGTGCCACCGAGGTGGGGTTCCTGGGCCTGCCTGAGACTTAGGTGGACGGCAGTTCCCATTTCCTACTTTAAAACACTCTCCAATTCTCCATATCAGATGCTCTGAAGAGCTCTGAGACTTGTGCCTATGAGGTTGTCCTGGGGCACCCTTGTCAGGAGCATTTTCAGGAGGAGAACCGCCTGAGCTGAGTGCTCCGGCTCGCCTCCTAGGTATTTCCTCTGGATGGGTGAGATTGAGCCATCAGGGTAGTACTCACAGGCTGACTCTGGATGACTCTCACTCACATCAGATACAGGATGGTTCAGTGCTCTCGGCGAACAGACCCTTGGTTTGAGCAGCATTGGTGGCCCACACAACAGCTGTCCCTCTTCCATGTCCATGTCAGGCAATCTCCTGGGGGCTGTGGAAAGGCCTCTGAGGGTTTTCTCGCCATCATTCCGTGTTGCCAGTGCACCCTTCCAATGCAGGTCCTCTCTTGATTCCAGTCACTGTGATGATGCCATGCTCCCCTGAGGCTCAGGCTCTGCTGGAGGAGGGATGGACATTCCCATTCCTTGCTGAATGGGACCCTCTGGTTGCTGCACCCAGGGCTCCTGGCTGTCCTCCCATTGCTGGTGGTGTGTGAAGGCAGGGGTGGAGGCAACATGCGAAGAGAACACATTCCAGGGATGTAGGATTAAAACCTAAAGGGTTAAGAGAACACAGGTTTGGAAAATAGGTTCTTCTACCTTTACCAATATACTATAAATTCACTTTTGTGGGGACATAATTAATTTTCACATGAAAATAATCTTTTTTTCACCACACATAGTTACAAAACATTTTTTCTTGTGATGAGAACTTTCAAGATCTACTCTCCTAGATACTTTCAAAAATGCAATACAGGATTATTAACTATAGTCACCATACTGTACATTACATCTCATGACTTGCTCGTTTTATAACTGGAAATTTGTACCTTTTGACCTGCTGAACTATAAAATTTGAAATACATTTTACGACCAGAAGATGACTTATTGTTCACATTTTTGTGCATGCTGCAGGGATGACCTGGGATTATAGTCATCATCAACAAAGCATGGTGACAACCTTGAGAGAGTTAGTGGAAGCCAGTACACACAGATGCCGGGTAGATGAGGCAGCCTCATGAGTAATGATATGACCACCATTAAATCCATGGCATTAGGAAGCTGAGGAGGCAAGACGATCTATGTTGTTTCAATACAAAGAAGCCCAGAAGAGCCATGGAATTATAAGTAATAATCATGCTGCATGAGAGATACAATTAGCCAAGATTTTAAACAAAAGAGATGGTTCCTGGACCTGAGCAGAAAGAAATGGTACCTGGACACTAAGAAGAATCTTTATAAAGACAGGACAATAAATAAATTTGTAAGTGTATCTTCTCTACTCATAACTCTAAATCAATCACTCAGTCAATCACTATGCTTCACGGGCCCATGAATTTTGTAATACATTTAAAAACCTTTTTTTTAATTTTTATTGTTCACTTACAGTTGACATTCAATGTTATTTGTATTAGTTTCAGATGTATAGCACAGTGGTTAAATAATTATTTACTTCACAAAGTGTTTTTCCCAATATTTACAGTACCCACCTGGCACCATACAAGTATTACAATATTACTGACTTGTAAGACATTACTAATAAAATTGCTTATGGTAGACAGGGGCTCCACAAAAATAAATCAATAAATATCTTCCTGGGGTTTATGAACATTTACCAAGTTCTAATACGAACAAAAATTGTGCTAGACATCATGAATACAAAAAAGAATAATGCACAATCCTGGACTCCATGTAACTCACAGTTAAAGTTGTAGCAAAGTACACAGATATAGCCAGGGCCCTGTGGCAGGGACAGAGAGAGGGGAGATGCAGAGAGCACATGGAATATAATGCTCCCTGTTAGACCTCAGAAAGGCAACAATGAGAACCACTCTCTCATTTAATGGGATTTTTCAGCCATCTTCTGAGTCCAAGTTTCTTCTCCTTTGATTAAACTTCTCTTTGCTCAGGTCTCCATGGATCAAAGATTCTGGTAAGATACCTATGGAAGGATGGGAGAAACGCAGGTCTGTCTGTCCAAACAGCCTGCTCTGAAGTCACCAAAATGACACCAGAGAAAGGATTGCTTGGCCAGCCTCCCTCTGTGCCTCTTTTAGCCTCAGAGTCTGGGTGGAGTAATAAGGCACTCATGCAAGAATGCCCCCGGCCCCACATCATCCTTCACAGTAAAAGTCTACATGGAAATAGAGGTCTCTCAGGGGAAGGAGCGAAGGGGAAAGATGAAGTCACGGGTTCTCCTGGCTTTTCCTTTGCTTTGGGGGCAGAGTCAGCTGGGAGTCTCCACAAACATGAGATTTCCAGCCCATCAGTCATCCTACATGTCCCACAGGCGTCTCATCATCAGGCAAAATGTGAGAATACCGAGCTGCAGGGCTGTCTGAGGACACACAGTACCGGGGAGCAACACCGGGAAAGAATTACCTATTATTTCATTTATATGAGATACTTACTAGTAGAGAAGTCAAATTCATTGAGACAGAAAGTAGATGGTGGGTGCAGGGGCTGGGGGAGAGGATGGGGAGTTAGTGTTTAATGAGGATGGTCTCAGGTTTACAAGATCAAAGAGTTCTGGAGGTGGATGGTGGTGCTGCTCACACGACACTATGATGTATTTAACTTATAAGCACTCAACAGTACACTTAAAATAGTTTAGATGATAAATTTATGTTATGTGTACTTTATCACAATGAAAAAAATTGGAAAAAAAGGATGAAACACATGCTGATCCATGCTGTAGCAAGGGTGAACCTCGAAAACATGCTTAAGTGAGGGAAGCCAGGCACAAAGGTCACGTAGTATGTGATTCCATTTATATAAAAAATCCAGAATAGATAAATCGTAGGGATGGAAAGCAGATTGGTGGTTGTCCGGCCAGGGGGAGGGGGATGAGGGGGTACCCTGCTTAACCATAGTTTGCTTCTGGGGTGATGAAAACGTAGAGCTGGAATGGGGTGCTTGTGCAACATCGTGAATGCACTAAATGCCACTAAATGATTACTTTAAAATGGTTAAGTTTATGTTATGTGAATTTCCCCTCCATAAATTATTTTTTCAAAGTACAAAAAAAAAAAAATGCCAGCCAGGCTGGTGGGTGTGAGTGAGAATAAAAATAACCAGGCCGGGGAGGCTGGGCCCGGTCCGGAGGTGGAATTTGCCCAGATCTTCCCAGCTCCTGAGGGTCTTCTCTGGGGACCTAACCACAATCTGAGCACAGACCCACCTGCTGGCTCCAGCCACTCTGTCCTCCAGAGCCACGCATGGCAGCCACTCCCCTCCCTCTCCCTGGGCTCCTGCACTTACTCCTACAACGTCAGGCCTATTTGCAGGGACACCAAGGATGTAGCCTGGGTCAGGGCGGCCGTGTCAGGGAAAACACAACCTGTGCGGCTGCTCCACTGAGGGCCAGCCAGGCGTCCTCGGCTTTCTGACCACGACCTCCACTTGGCAATGCCACAGTGGGCCCCTGGGGCATCAGGGCTGCGTGGGCCAGTGAGGGAAAAGGGGAAGGCAGGGCCGCTGGCTGCCCGGCGGGAACATGAGGCCTGTCGGTGGGGAAGTGACGTGAGGGCAGGGAGAGGGTGGCAGCCTGAGGAAGAAGCTACTTTACTGTTAGATGTTTTGTTTTTTAGAGAGAAGACAAACAGCTGAAATAATTTTTTAAAAATCCTTTGGTGAGGGAAACACTGACTGCACATGAAGGGATAGGGAAGGGCAGTGTGCCAGGGAGATGGGGGTGGGGGTGGGGGTGGGGGGAATGTCCAGATCCAGGGGGAAAGTCAGCCAGGGAGCCAGGGGAAAGCTGGTGTGTGGGCAGCGTTTGAAGGTGGAGGGTGAGAAATTCCAGGAAGCACAGAGCAGATGCCTTAATCTTCTAAGTGGGAAAGGAGGCAACATCAAAACTGACAGGGGGCTTTGGGGGTGGAGGCAGGGCTGAGAGGGGAGGCTAGGTAATTCCCCGGTGGCCACAGAGGGCCTAGAATAGGACGTCCTGGGTGAGTGACAGCAGCGTTTGCCAAGCTTGCTGGCCAGGAGTGTCACCATGCGCATTTCCCAGCTCCTCCCCTGGAGATGGAGTCAGTACACAGGATGGATGGGACCAAAATCTTCATGATGAGGACAGCCTGAGGACGTACTTAACACCAGGCAAGTTTAAAGAAACGGTGAGTTAAAGAAGTGTTGAGTAGCAGGGAGAGGCTGGATAACAGGAAATTGAGGGGGATAATTCAATATCCTTCTCACAGCAAAACTCTGCTGCCCAGAGAGTTTGGAGCATTTGGAGAAAATGCCCCAAATGCTCCAAAGCCCATTTGGAGAAAATCGGTGGTGGGGTTTAGCCATAACAGTAGGATCTATGCAAGAGAATGGAATCTACTCAGGAGGGTGGGGTCTATCCACTAGGCAGGGGTCTTTAGGGAGAGTGCAGTGGCAGGTCCAGGGCATGGGGGCGGGGTGGGGCGGTAACTGTGAGCAGTCCGAACGCTTGACCTTGGACCCACACTTGGCAGAGGCCAGAGTGAAAGCAAGAGAGAACTGACAGACGATGAGAACAGGAAAAGTGGACGGAGCGGGGTCAAGATCCTGAGGTCAGTGAGGATGAGGAAACGGGAGAGGCTTGAGTAGGAGATGGGAATTTCAGAGGTAAACATCGGGGAGTTTGCGTGTACGCATCACCGCTCAGCTGGGAGAGGCATATTCCCAGGCCACCGATTAGACCAAGCACATCTTCCGGAGGCAGCGTTTTACACATATATTTGGGGAGGAAATTATTTTTATATTATAATAAACACATTCCATTGATTCACATGAAATCGTAAGATTTTTTTTTCAAAAAGACTTCAAAGACTTTTCTCTTGGCTGCTTCGGGCTGCACGCCCGGGTTCGTGTTCCTCTGTGGTTAGCGGGACTCGAGAGGAGACGTTTGAGCAGCGCTGCTGAGGAATCTGCCCAGTAAAGCAGAGACGCCGGGCCCGGCACTGAGAGCAGGGCCTCTCAGCAGGGCCAGCTTTGACCCCGTGATTATCGGAACTTCATGACATTGCCAATAATACCATAGCCATTTATATAAGTAAAAATGGTTACTTGATGTGACCAAAACCTAAATCGCAGATTTACTTAGTCTCCCTCACCACCACCTCCACCATATGGCCTCCAGGGGGCACTGCTCCCCCTTCTAAACTCTGTCCCCAAGACAAAGGCCACTTCTTGGCTTCCTAAAGCACCAAGTCAGGCTTAGAACAAAAAGACTTTTAAAAGAAGTAACCATAGAAAGACACATGAATCTGGGCAGTATAGCCCCTTGTCCCCTAAAAGGTGGCCCCAGACCAGCAGTATTAAAATCACCTAGGAGCTTGAGGCTTCCCTGGCCCCACCAGACCTATTGAATCAGAATTGGCATTTTAACAAGATTGCCCCAGGTGACCTGAGTGCACACGATAATTGAGAAACTCCGGTCTAGTGGGCACGATTCTGCTTATTGATCATCTGCCTTCCTAACCTGAGCAAGCTGGGACCGCCTGAGTAACACCCTCCCCAGGAACGCCCTCTTAGACGCTCCACTCCTCAAAAATAGACAGAAGGCTTGGCCCTCCCAGTAATACCGCCCTGCCTATGGGCCCCTTTTTACTCTCAGGGTGTATTAGCTATCTACTGCTGTGTGACAAATGACCCCCAAACTTAATTTAAAACAACAAACATTTATTATCTCACCATTTCTCTGGGCTAGGAGCCTGGGCATGGCCTAGCTGGGAAACTCTGACACCGGGTCTTCTCAACAGGCTGCAGTGTCAGCAGTGGAGGCGGCTCCACTGTGGGCATTTCACTCTCGAGCTCACTCCTGTTGGGAAATCAGGCAGCCTCAGGTCCCAGCTGGCTACTGGTCAGACACATTAATCCTCTGTCACGTGGTTCTCTCCGCAGCGTTAATCACAACAGAATAGCTTGCTTCCTTTGGAGCATGAGCTCTGGAAGGGGAGAGGGCACAGTAGAGAGATATTGACAGGGCAAGCAAGATAGAAGTCACAGTCTTTTGTAACCAAACCTTGGGAGTGACATTCCATCACTTTTTTTCATGTGCTATTAGTTAGAAGCAAGTCATAGGTCCAGCTCAGGCTGACGGGAGCGGATTACTGGGGTGTAAATACCAGGGATCACTGGTATTGACAGTGGGGATCACTGGGAACATTTAGCCGCCTCCCTCGGGTAGGGATCTCACATCTAAGGGGCATGCCCCAACAAGGCAACATATCAGAATACAAGACAGTAACCTCCACCGTCATATGTTAAGAATGACAGACATCCAGTAACAGCAGGTTTATTCCTTCTTAATAGTAGTTTTCAGAGTGATTCCACAATAACTCACTTGGGGAACATTAAAAATTCTAATGGGGGGGGAAAAGATAAAAACACCAATGCAAGTCAATTGAATCAGAACCTCCAGGCATTGTTTTTGTTTTGTTTTAGTTTTGTTTTCAATTTCTGGGCTGATTTCAGTAAAGAGATGGGGTTGAGAATTACTGTCTCAGATGAACAATTTCAAATGCTGTAATGCCAGGGCTGGGGTGGAGGTCATTGGGACAGAAGAAGGTATGGGCTGGGCAGCTTGGGATTTCGATGGGTGACCTGCTGTGGAATATGGACAGGAAAAGTCAGCAGGGGATATAGGCCTTAAGGAGTCTGTGCTCATCTGAGAGGTGAGGGGATAAGACAGACGAAAGAGAAATGGCTTCACACACTGCTTTCCAGAGGTTAGGCTGGATGACTTTTGCAACAGTTCAGAAGAAAGGAAGGAAAAGAGGAGGGAGGCAGGGGGTGAAGGTAGAAAAAGAAACCTGTCTATTTTAAAAACTTGTCCTCAACTCCAGCTGATGGCTTCAAGGAAATGAAAATAGAAAATGAAGAAGACTGAACCAATAAAAGTGCCTTATAGTCTTTTATCCTATGTCTAAAGAGGTACAGAAAGTCAGAACTGGAGAGGCCCTGTAGAGTACCAGGCCACCTTCATGTTATGAATGAAGAAAACGAGGCACAAAGGGTCATGGGAGGGGGCATGGCATTGCTGGGATTAGAACTCACACCCTTGAACCTGAGCCCAGAGCTCAAATCGCAGGCTTCCCACATGCACCACATCTCTGGGCAGGGTGGGCTTCACCCTTCCCCTTCACACCAGCGTGAGAACGAGACTTACTGCAGAATGGGTCCAAGGAGATAACATGCCTTCTCTTACTGGGCACCGTGTCGTTGCAGAGTGTCTTTCACAGAAACATTTCAACAAGGGTGAGCCCACAGGAGGTGGGTGGTCCTCCGTTAATTTACTGTTTGATGGGAACAGTCACGGGGGTGATGACAGTCTTGAGGTCTAACAAGCTCCCTGCTTATTGGAGGGGAGGAGTCTAAGTCTGAGCCACAACCCGAGTCTGAGACAGGCCTTAACCGCTGCTCTGCCCTCGGTTTTGTCCACAATAAGACGGCCCTTCTCCAGGCAGGTCCAGCCTCTACCTCTCCTCCCCGCCTCTCCCTAATCGGAATCTTACCCGCTGTTCTCATCCTCAGGGACAGTCACTCCCCTCCAGTTGCCATGGCCACCAGCCTCACCCAGAGCATACCAGCCATGCTGTTCCCAGCCTCTGGCTGCCACCCAGGCAGATGCAGAGCAGTCGGGGAAGAAAACAGCCTCCTCGGAAAGCTGGTCCAAGGCTGCTTGGAGGGACTCTCCGCTGTCGGCTGAGTCTTCCCTTCAGTCCTTTTGGCTGCCGGCTGTGACTGGGCGGTGGTTGTTCCTGTCTCTCCCTGCACCGGCTTCTCGGGAGCCTCTGACCCAAATCTCCTAGCGCTAAATAAGGCTGTTCCCAGGGCTCAGGAGCCTGGCTGGGTACCAAACACTGAGAACTGAGAACGGCACCAGTTGCCGCCAGTTCACATCTCTAAAGTCTTAAGAGAGTGGTGAGAAATGCGGCCCCAGAGCTCTCCTGGAAAGAGAAATCCATGGCAGAGAAGCCAAAGAGCACCAGAGGCATAGAGATGGACTCCTTTTAAAAACAAACAGAGACAAACCCGCCCGTGTATCCTGGCCTAAAGGGCAGCCGTCCCGGGGGTTACGCTGGCCCAGGCTTGCTTCACCGCCATTGCAGCAGCGAGGCCAGGGGAGGACCCTGCAGTGCATGCCAGCACTGCCAAGTGGCAGCTGTCTCTCGGGTGGACGACCTGCTTTACCCGGGTCCGGATTCTAGCCAGCACCCTCCGGTGAGAAAAGGCAAGGCAGAGCGCAGCACAGAAATGCAGAATGTTGTTTTCACTGTGCACTCCCTCTCCTCCTCCACTGGTGCTCACAAATCACGGACCCGCTGGTCCCTGCCCCGGTTTCCAGTAGGTGTCCACAGAGTTACAGAGCCTGGCCTGGGATCGGGGTGGGGGGCAGGGGTGTGCTCACAGATGTGACAAGGGATGGGGACAAGAGAGTAGCAGCTACTTCTGCTGGCCAAACCACAGCAGTTCCAACCACCTTCTGCTGTCCAGGGCCACGGACCCCTACCCCGCCACTCCCCTGCCCCGCCCAAGGCACTGATGTCCTGCCCAGAGGGATTTTGTTGAAGGTCATGTGTCTTTGCTAAAAAGTTGCTAAAAAATGGAGCTGAGCTGTTTGGGGGAAGAAGGTGCTTTATTCTTTTGTAGAAGTAATTTAGGCCTGCCCAGTGTGGCTCAGTGGTTGAGCATCGACCTATGAACCAGGAGGTCATGGTTCAATTCCCGGTCAGGGTACATGCCTAGGTTTCAGATTCCATCCCCAGTGTGGGGCATGCAGGAGGCAGCTGATCAATGATTCTCTCTCTCTTCCTTTCTCTCTGAAATCAATATAATATATACATATATATTTTTTAAAGAAGTAATTTAGAAAATTACCTCTTTCCAGTGGGAAAGAATAGAATCATAAGTTACTAACTAGTCAAAAATTAATAAAAATGATGCCAAAAGATGCTGTGGTCTGAATTTCTTCATAATTTTTAGTGCTCACTTGGAATAATTTTTTCAGCTTACTATTTAAGTTTATTTAAGTATAAATATTTTCATAAAGATGCATGATTTAATTTTCAAGGGACATGTTTACCTCTATAGGTTGTAAAGCAAGCCTCAAGGACAAGCCTTAATATTCAGACCACATGGCCGTGACCCAGTCCCCATCAAACCATCACTCCCACCAACTTTAACAACATCCCCTGAAAGCAGGGTAAATAGATTCCAGTTCTGAAGATGGAAAACGAATGTTCAAAAGATGGCAGCCATCACATCTCCCAGTAGAGCCGGCACCAACCCTGTGCTTCTCTTCCCATTCTCTTCATCATCCCCTCCCCCCTGGGCACCCACATAGCCCAATTTATTCAGAAAGACCCCTGATCTCAGTGAGGAATATTTAGATGACTAGAGGCTGAGGGTCCAGCAGGGAGAAGCCTCAATATGATTGGACAAATTCAGCTGAAATATCTTCCGAAGTTGCTGGCACTCTCTGGAGACTTACTGTCTTTTGAAAGACAAGGACAGTTGGTAACTTCTTGCACCGCCGAAGGTTAGCCCCCTATGCACACAAGCACTTTCTCCCTCCCCAGCACATGGCTGTTATCTCTCCATCACTCAGACTCACGTGCACTGTGCTTGGCCTCGCCCAAATCCCCCGAGGGACAGCTGCTCCAAGGCCCAGCCTGACACCAAGCAGCTGGATGAGCAATGTTCTCCACTGCGAGCAGTAGGCGGGCTGGGCTGCCTGTGGGTGAATCATGAGAGTCTGACTTGGAAGACAGATCAGAACCGTGAGGGAACTCCACCGCATGAAGGCGTGGAGGGAGATTTACCACTTTCCAAATAGATAGCAGAAAATCCAAGGTTTTTGTTCGTTTGTTTGACTGAGTTTCAAGTATTTGGAAGGCTCACATGTAACTAACTGGCAGCTGCTGACTTCCTGAGCCTTTAAAAAATAACAAGTGTAGCCCTGGCCAGTGTGACTCAGTTGGCTGAGCTTTGCCCCAGGACCAGTTCGAGTGCAGGTCAGGGACCATACCTAGGTTTCGAGTTCCATCCCGGTAGGGTTTGCTTGTGGGAGGCAACTGATTGATGTTTCTCTCTTACATGAATGTTTCTCCCTTCCTCTCTTTCTAAAAATCAATAAAACATATGTTTTAAAATCTTTATTTAAAAAAAAAAAAAGTGTATTAGGGTACAGATCTGGAGTTCAATAGATGTCAGTTCAGATGTGGCTCTGCCACTTACCAGCTGGGCTACCCTGTAAGTCGCTTTCCCTCTTGGAGCCTCACCTCTGAAACACATTACACGTAAGCATGTCAAACTCGTGGCCCTCGGGCCACATGCCTCATTTATTTGGTCCGTGTTAACCTTTGAGTTTGACATGCTTACATTACATCTTTTCCTGCTGCCTTGGTTTGAGGTTTAAATGAAAGAATCCGTGGGGTAGGCAGGGGCAGTATCTGTTCGGAGTGGTTGGCACATAAGAAGTGCTCAATAAATCTGCTCTGAATGAGTGACTGTCTATGCTTCCAGTGTCTGCCATGGAGTAGTTACTCAATGAGTATTGATTTTTGTCCCTTTCCTTTCCCAGATGAGCAGCCACTAGAGAGCTGGTTCCAATAATCGCGAGACCAAGCCAAAAATACAGCTTCTCAGAGAGGCCTGGCCACCTCTACCTGGTGCTGGGGGGGAGTCAGCTGACTAACTAGTTGGCAGCTTTGTGCAGAGTGATTACAGCTCTTCTGAACCTTAATTTTCTCCTTCTTTAACATGAGAGAGCTGGACTAGTTGTAAACATTTTATAGCATCAAAACTTTCTTCACAAGGAATCTTATACAGAACCCCCCAACTGAATAAAATCACTCAGGGAGGGGATGAAGGCCCACTTCTGGGTGTGCTCAGCTCCCCAGCCCACCTGCTTTTAGAAGTTGAATGGAAGGCACCCCCTGAGGAAATCTAAGGTTCCTTGGAGCACAGTTAGAGAACCACGGGATTACATTCTAAATCTCTAAGTGTGACACTTTGTGATTGAGTGTTTACAGAGTAACTTGGACACAGTTTTGAGCCTGAGAAAATTAGCTCAAGGCTGATGTGTAACACATCTCAGAAAGAATACAACCAGGACTCTCCTTCATGCCCAGCCCCTCAGACCTGCTGCCTGGGTAAGTCACTTGGCAGGAAGTTCCTTTTAACTGGTTTCAGCTGGAGACTCGGCAGCAGCCACTCTTCAGGATTGGGGGAGAGGGGAGAAGGCGGGGAAGTAATATGGGAAAATGTAATCTTACCCTGAAGAGAGTGTCAGGTGAACATAAACAATTAGAAACAGGACCTGCAATAAATTAGCCTGAGCAATAAGGGAGCGGTGGGATGCGGGGAAAGAGCACTGGGCAGGAAATCAAAACACCTAATCCCAGGCCCACGTTAACTGCTGACCTTGAGCAAATCACACCTGTGTCTCAATTACTTCTTTGATTGGGCTGGACCAGGTAACCTCTCTGGGACTTTTCCAGCCATAAACATCTGTGATTCTAGGTATTGCAGGCACTTAAGAATGTTGATAACAATGGTGTTCAACTCTCAGTATGCCGTGCTTCACTAACGAACAGATACATCCTGAGAAATGTGCCAGTAGGCAATTTCGCTGTGCGAACATCACAGAGAGCACTTACGCCAGCCGAGATGATATTGCCTACTACACACCTAGGCTGTATGGTATAACGGCTATACTATAGCCCATTGCTCCCAGGCTACAAGCCAGTACAGCATGTTACTATACTGACTCCTGTAGGCAATTGTAACACAATAGTACGTATTTGTGTATCAAAACATATCTAAACATAGAAAAGTTACAATATAAATACAAACGATAAAAATGGTATGCCTATAGAGGGCACTTATCATGAATGAAGTTTGCAGGATCAGAAGTTGCTCTGCATGAGTCAGTGAGTGAGTGAGTGGTGAGTGAATGTGAAAGCTTAGGACATTACTTACTGTATACTATTGTAGACTTCATAAACACTGTACACAGGTTACAATAAATTTATAAAAATATTTTTCTTTCTTCAATAATAAACTTACATAACATCTTTACTTTAAAACTTTAATTTTTTAAAAACTTGTTTACTCTTTTTTATTAACAATTAGCTTAAAAAATAAATATATTATACAGCTGTGCAAGAATATTTTTAGATCCTATTCTATCTTTAATTTTTTTTTAACTTTTTAAACTTTTTGGTTAAAAACTAAGACACAAACACACACACTAGCCTAGGCCCACACAGGGCCAGGATCATCAGCATCCCCGTCTCCACATCCACATCCTGTCCCAGTGGGAGGTGTTCAGGGCAGTAACACACAGGGAGCTGTCATCTGTGATAGCAGTGCCTCCCTCTGGAACTCCTCCTGAGGGACCTGCCTGAGGCTCTTCTTGACGAGGTGTCACTCTTTTCAGAAATATGTCCATGGTGGTTTGCTTCTTTTTGTCGTCATGGATTTGCCTTTAAACAGATGATGCACCATGGACATTTCTATTAATGAAAACTGTTTGGTGTTGGGGTCCATAGGATCTTGTTAAGGTCTGCAAAAGTGTCTGCTAAGTCCTTCACTGTGAATTTTCTTCAAGGTTCTTCTTCTTCTTCTTCTCTTGCAGGTTCCTTTTCTCTTGCCTCTTCTTTAGCTATGCAGATCATTCCAGTTCCTACAACTTCTCCTTAGTGAACTCCTCAGGTACCAGCTCTAGGATCTACTCAATGTCATTCTCATCCATGCCCAGGTTAAAGTTGCTCTCTCAACCACCACCTTGTTGATTTTTACAACCTCCTCATCTTTTGCAAATCTTTTGAAGTCATGGACTAACCTCTCGAGTGTCACTCCTTGGTGACCTCACCCCAAGCCCAAGCAAGGTTATTGCATCAGTGTCTTCTCAGTTCTAGCAATAGCCTGAGCAAAGGTCCTCCTCAGGTAATAGACCTTAAAAGCTGCTATAACTCCTTGATCCATTGGTTGGATCAAAGAGGTGGTATTTGGAGAGAGAAACACAACTTTATATATAGGGCTAAAGATCACAGATAGAATGCGGGCATCCAGGAACATTAAAAAGGTATGTTATTCTCTAAACAGTATTTCTGCATTTCTCTGGCAGGGCAATTCAGAAGGGCATCTTGGTCCATGACTTTTTATTGCTCCTGTAGTGCACTGGCAGTGTGTGCTCATCATATACCTAGAGGCCCTGGGGTTCTCACCATGCCAGGTCACAAAGGGTTTCCATTGGTAGTCTGAAACATTGCCCCAAGCAAGACTGTTATCCTATCCTTAAAAACCTTGAAACCTGGTGTTGACTTGGCTTGGTTATGAAT